TGACTTCTGATTTTGTGGCCCCAAACATCCCAAATGTGAATAATAACATTCTAGCGTAAAACGCTGTGAGTGGATCGCGGTTGTCTTTTCTTATTCCGGTAGCGACCTTGCCCTTCGATCGTTCGAAGCTGTCACTGACATGCAAGCAGATTTGAGTTTGTTGATTTTCACGTCTTCAGTATATAGGGTGGTACAGTTAACATGAATGTCTTTGGCGAACAGTCTGATTTCCCTCTTCCAAAATGGTACGAACATGATATAAATTCAGCTGATAGATCAAGGAAACCGGACCATTTTGATTGCACAGCCGGGACCCCGGCAGCGCGAGTGACCGACTGTTGGTCCGATATTCAAAGCGCGGCGCTAATGTGACATTTCAAATGTTCTTATCGGTGTCCTGCGTACTAACAACATGGCGCTTGAATTACCATAAGTTGAAGAATTTCTTCCTAAAGGATCTTGAGCGTCGGTGCTGGTTTGTTTGCAAACAGAACAGCAGGCACATGTTGTTAATGCGTATGCATAAACATGTCAACAATGCCCATATTTGGTCATATATCAATATTCATGCGCAACCAGATTTTGCAACCGGTTTCAGTTTGGTCTGTCAACGAACGAAAGTTGTTATGTATTTACACTAAAATATATTTTAACGTGGGTAATAAATAAAATACCACACTCATTCTCGTTAGATACCATTTTTACGAAACTCGTGAACTTTCTATGGTATTTCTATACCATTGAAAGTCCACTCGTTTCGTAAAAATGGTATCTAACGAGAATGAGTGTAGTATTCTCTATTTATTACTTGCCCGTGAAGAGATCACCCGTTTAATAAACATACAGCTTTATTACACATTGTGTAATACCAAAACGCGTGCTTATGTACTCTCGGAACACGTTTCACGAACAAATATTGAAAGCTCTCAACATCCCTTGGCGTATTCAACGAAATTGTGTGTGGAGATGATAGATCACTGGGAGGAGCTTATGCACACTCGATGACCCCAGCAACCTTGTTGCTAGGCTGACGTCACATGGCATTGTTTCGCCGATGGATCTTGCAACAAAATTCAACAAATTACGTCATCGGGTATTGTGACGTGATTGTAAACTTTGAGGTGCAAGGCCCCATCCACAAGGCGATCGTACTCTAGCGCAACGACAGTCGTTAGTCTAAGTTAAATTATGTGAGTTGTGATAGCCTTAGCACTACGATCATTTTGTGGGACGAACGCCTGAATTCTAAAGGTGGACCATTGTATGATATTAAATTCATACGTTTCAACTTTTGATTGTTTGAAGTATTATTCTGTTAAACTCAATTGGATTAAGCCATGGATCGTGTAGGTGTCAGCCTATTTACACTCAACAGTATAATTCTAAAAACATTATAAATGACAAGTAATAAATAAAATACTAAACTCGCTCTCGTGTAAAACCAATTTTATGAAACTCGTGAATAGTTGTGGTATCTGACTCGCTTTCGCTCGTCAGATACCAGAACTATTCACTCGTTTCATAAAATTGGTATTACACGGGAGCTCGTTTAGTATTCTATATATATCTACACTGTAGATATCGCTGCAATGAAATTACATCACAATGCTTTGCAGACCATTGTGACGTCACTGGTTACCATGACGTCACAATCAAATGACATCACTAATGGCTCTGCTACTGAAGCAGTTTGCAGTACTTTTTACACTGAAGACACTGCTAATTACTGTCTACCAACTGAAAAAGTTGAAAGAATGATGTTGGATGATAAATAAAATCTCACCCTTGTGTCTTTTGATATCAAATATATCAACACTCGTTGATAAAAGTGGCAAAAATCCTCGGCAAGCCTCGGAATTTTTCCACTTTTATCAACTCGTGTTGATATATTTGATATCAAAAGACACTCGGGTGAGATTCTCTATTTATTACTCTCTTACTGTCGCTGGAATATAGGAGATTATGTACAGTGTTAATAGTAGTGTTATAGTGCATACCATTTCAATATACTTATTTAAAATAGTGCAAACCGTTTCAATACTTTTATTTTACATTTCATTTATCTAAATACCTAACTGGTTCAATATGTTTCTAAGTGCTCTGAAATTCTGCCTTTTGTCTGTTTAATATATTCAGCAAACATTCGGCGTATCCCCTCTTATCATAAGCCCCTCCGGGCAGGACCCTTTATCTCCAGCGCTATCTATAAATTTCAAATAACACCTCCTAACGTCGCCGGATCTTACGTCTATACATACACGTGGGACAATGACCTTGCCACACGTTACGTAATACCTCGCTCTACAAAACCCGACTGACATGGTCAGTCAGGGAGACAGCCAGAAGGTAAGTGACAGAACGGTTCTCCCACCCGGGTACATTGGCCACTCGGTCCCGGTGTGCGTTCTGTCACGTTCTTATCAACATGTACCTTTTCGACATATTCCAAACCATCAACAATAAACATGGCTGCTGTCGTCTAAACTTTACCCCTGAGTTTTGTCTTCCGTCATCACCCTGAGCTACCATCCGAGGGGCGAAACGAACGCCCTTGGACAGTAGCAGCAAAAACGCCACGTGGCCTGCCTATCTGATGTAGCCTATTCCCAGTATAACCATCAGACCACAACCCACCACTGTTTCCACCGACATAGCTCATCCTCTTCAAGGGGTCTACAGCAATGCTATGGGAAAGACTCTTCCGTGGTTACACAAGTCCACAATCCCCCGACAGCTTCTCCAAAATGTGGTGAGGTGAGGTGAGATGGGGTGAGGTGAGGTGAAATAGGGTTTAACGTCGCGTCCAAGATTATTGCACTTATATAGCGACGTGCATGCACGTGTATATGTGTGTGTGTGTGTGTGTGGCTGCTTGTACTAGTCCGGACTGATGCCGATTTATAGTGCTAGCACACTGTGATACCATGCCGCAGTTTAACACGAATACCCCACTCAGACACAGTATACTGACTCCGAGCCGACCAGTCCTTGTTTTAGCCCCTTAATGCCGAGCGCCAGACAGGGTAACAACAAGTACCATCTTTTAACGTCTTTTTGTATGACGCAGCCCGGGATCGAACCCTGGACCTTCCGCCCTCCGGGCGGACCCTCTACCACAAGACCACGGAGGCGGTCTATACGGGTATGTGTGGATGTGATGTGTGTGTGTGTGTTGATTGATGGGAGTAAGTGTGTGTTATATACGGGTATGTGTGGATGTGATGTATGTGTGTTGATGAATGGGAGTAGGGGTGTGTAATATACGGGTATGTGTGGATGTGATGTATGTGTGTTGATGAATGGGAGTAGGGGTGTGTAATATACGGGTATGTGTGGATGTGGTGTATGTGTGTTGATTGATGGGAGTATGGGTGTGTAATATACGGGTATGTGTGGATGTGATGTATGTGTGTTGATGAATGGGAGTATGGGTGTGTAATATACGGGTATGTGTGGATGTGGTGTTTGTGGATGAATGGGAGTAGGGGTGTGTAATATACGGGTATGTGTGGATGTGATGTATGTGTGTTGATTGATGGGAGTATGGGTGTGTAATATACGGGTATGTGTGGATGTGATGTTTGTGGATGAATGGGAGTAGGGGTGTGTAATATACGGGTATGTGTGGAGGTGATGTATGTGTGTGGATGAATGGGAGTAGGGGTGTGTAATATACGGGTATGTGTGGATGTGATGTATGTGTGTGGATGAATGGGAGTAGGGGTGTGTAATATACGGGTATGTGTGGATGTGATGCATGTTTGTGGATGAAGAATGGGAGTAGGGGTGTGTAATATACGGGTATGTGTGGATGTGATGTATGTGTGTGGATGAATGGGAGTAGGGGTGTGTAATATACGGGTATGTGTGGATGTGATGTATGTGTGTTGATGAATGGGAGTAGGGGTGTGTAATATACGGGTATGTGTGGATGTGATGTATGTGTGTGGATGAATGGGAGTAAGGGTGTGTAATATACGGGTATGTGTGGATGTGATGCATGTTTGTGGATGAATGGGAGTAGGGGTGTGTAATATACGGGTATGTGTGGATGTGATGTATGTGTGTTGATGAATGTGGGTAAGGGTGTGTTATATACGGGTATGTGTGGATGTGATGTATGTATGTGGATGAATTGGAGTAGGGGTGTGTAATATACGGGTATGTGTGGATGTGATGTGTGTGGATGGATGGGTGTGCGATATACGGGTGTTAAGCGGGTGCATGAAGCGCGCGTATACTGTATATATGTACATATATATGGTATGTTGGCCGTGTACGTTATTAATGTAGGCATACACATACATACATGTCTATACAGTATACACATATACACATATCTATATGTGGTGTGCATGTTTCAGTTGTATATACAACTCGACTTTATGCATGCGTTAATGCTAATCAGCTAATGGCTGTGTGGCTGTTTGAGGGTGTGTATCTAAATATGTACATGCGTAGGCGAGAGAAAAAATGACAAGACGTTGGCGTGATAGCCACGAAAGTGTATGTCTACGGCTATTTATAATACTTCAAACGATGCATAAATGTTACTGAATTTCATATTTTACAAGTCGGTCTCAGAGTTAAAAATGGCCGTTCGATAATTGTTCTTTTAAGTACGCAATTATTTTGGTCGCTGTGTACAACTAGTGACTAAGTATGACTAGGTAGATTTTACTTCTTTGGGGCAACATAGAGATAGTCGTTAGCTTCTCGATCTAGTGAACCTCTCTCTCCCTCTCTCACTCTCTCTCACTCTCCATGAGGTAAGCTGCACTGGATAATCGATCATTGATGATGCACCCTTTAGTAGATAATCCAACGTCAGTTTCTTTGTATATTATTTATTAGGTAAACTTATCTATTCATCCTAGTTTCAAATAGAGTTGTAATTAAACAAGACACCAGTCATATTGGATTTCGACCACATTTTATAGCGGTATTCAAAACGTCGGTCTGGTTTGGGGATTCCCCTGGTGACGTCACATCCTATCTAACTAGGTCATTCGTCACAGTCATCCGCCTTTCCGTATTGGCCGTTTACAGTAACAAGGAAGTTGCCAGTCCGTGTAATTGGAGAGCAAAGGTCAGATACTGACATGACATTGTCTTACCGATGTAAATAGTGCAATATCAATATCCGACAACATTGTAATTTAAAATGATTTGATAAGCGATGGCGAGGTATGCAATGCGGCAATGGCGGCGGGAATTTCCCTTGTGATGGCAGATTATGTTGCATGGTTAACTCGCGAATTAACCTCAGGTCCATGTAACTTATATTCTATACGAAACGTCTGCAAGTTTATTAGTGCAGGATATATTAGTTACAGAACAGTCCAGTGAACCATGGCATGTGCCGATTGTGCGACCTTGTGCGAGCTAGCATTCACTGAGCCTTTTAAATATGGTAGGCTTGTCAAGCACAGGCGATCGTGTCGTTTCTAGTAGGAAATCATGACATCACTATGAATAGGCCATCTAGCACAGTGTCAAACTTGGAGGGTGTAACCTGCTACCAATGTAAGACAGGTGCTACCACCCCATTAACACTGTGAATAGGTTGTCTAGCCCTGTGTCAAACTTGGAGGGTGTAACCTGCTACCAATGTAAGACAGGTGCTACCATCCCATTAACACTATGAATAGGTTGTCTAGCCCAGTGTTAAACTTGGAGGGTGTAACCTGCTACCAATGTAAGACAGGTGCTACCATCCCCTTAACACTATGAATAGGTTGTCTAGCCCTGTGTCAAACTTGGAGGGTGTAACCTGCTACCAATGTAAGACATGTGCTACCATCCCATTAACACAGTGAATAGGTTGTCTAGCCCTGTGTCAAACTTGGAGGGTGTAACCTGCTACCAATGTAAGACAGGTGCTACCACCCCATTAGCACTGTGAATAGGTTGTCTAGCCCTGTGTCAAACTTGGAGGGTGTAACCTGCTACCAATGTAAGACAGGTGCTACCACCCCATTTACACTGTGAATAGGTTGTCTAGCCCTGTGTCAAACTTGGAGGGTGTAACCTGCTACCAATGTAAGACAGGTGCTACCACCCCATTTACACTGTGAATAGGTTGTCTAGCCCTGTGTCAAACTTGGAGGGTGTAACCTGCTACCAATGTAAGACAGGTGCTACCAAGACAGGTGCTACCATCCCCTTAACACTGTGAATAGGTTGTCTAGCCCTGTGTCAAATTTGGAGGGTGTAACCTGCTACCAATGTAAGACAGGTGCTACCATCCCCTTAACACTATGAATAGGTTGTCTAGCCCTGTGTCAAACTTGGAGGGTGTAACCTGCTACCAATGTAAGACAGGTGCTACCATCCCCTTAACACTATGAATAGGTTGTCTAGCCCTGTGTCAAACTTGGAGGGTGTAACCTGCTACCAATGTAAGACAGGTGCTACCAAGACAGGTGCTACCATCCCATTAATACTATGAATAGGTTGTCTAGCCCAGTGTCAAACTTGGAGGGTGTAACCTGCTACCAATGTAAGACAGGTGCTACCATCCCATTAACACTATGAATAGGTTGTCTAGCCCTGTGTCAAACTTGGAGGGTGTAACCTGCTACCAATGTAAGACAGGTGCTACCATCCCATTATCACTGTGAATAGGTTGTCTAGCCCAGTGTCAAACTTGGAGGGTGTAACCTGCTACCAATGTAAGACAGGTGCTACCATCCCCTTAACACTGTGAATAGGTTGTCTAGCCCTGTGTCAAACTTGGAGGGTGTAACCTGCTACCAATGTAAGACAGGTGTTACCATCCCATTTACACTGTGAATAGGTTGTCTAGCCCTGTGTTAAACTTGGAGGGTGTAACCTGCTACCAATGTAAGACAGGTGCTACCATCCCCTTAACACTGTGAATAGGTTGTCTAGCCCTGTGTCAAACTTGGAGGGTGTAACCTGCTACCAATGTAAGACAGGTGCTACCATCCCCTTAACACTATGAATAGGGTGTCTAGCCCTGTGTCAAACTTGGAGGGTGTAACCTGCTACCAATGTGAGACAGGTGCTACCAAGACAGGTGCTACCATCCCCTTAACACTGTGAATAGGTTGTCTAGCCCCGTGTCAAACTTGGAGGGTGTAACCTGCTACCAATGTAAGACAGGTGCTACCATCCCCTTAACACTATGAATAGGTTGTCTAGCCCTGTGTCAAACTTGGAGGGTGTAACCTGCTACCAATGTAAGACAGGTGCTACCACCCCATTAACACTGTGAATAGGTTGTTTAGCCCAGTGTCAAACTTGGAGGGTGTAACCTGCTACCAATGTAAGACAGGTGCTACCACCCAATTTACACTGTGAATAGGTTGTCTAGCCCTGTGTCAAACTTGGAGGGTGTAACCTGCTACCAATGTAAGACAGGTGCTACCATCCCATTAACACTATGATTATGTTGTCTAGCCCAGTGTTAAACTTGGAGGGTGTAACCTGCTACCAATGTAAGACAGGTGCTACCATCCCCTTAACACTATGAATAGGGTGTCTAGCCCAGTGTCAAACTTGGAGGGTGTAACCTGCTACCAATGTAAGACAGGTGCTACCACCCCATTAACACTGTGAATAGGTTGTCTAGCCCTGTGTCAAACTTGGAGGGTGTAACCTGCTACCAATGTAAGACAGGTGCTACCACCCCATTAACACTGTGAATAGGTTGTCTAGCCCTGTGTCAAACTTGGAGGGTGTAACCTGCTACCAATGTAAGACAGGTGCTACCATCCCCTTAACACTATGAATAGGTTGTCTAGCCCTGTGTCAAACTTGGGGGTGTAACCTGCTACCAATGTAAGACAGGTGCTACCATCCCATTTACACTGTGAATAGGTTGTCTATCCCTGTGTCAAACTTGGAGGGTGTAACCTGCTACCAATGTAAGACAAGTGCTACGACCCCATTAACACTTTGAATAGGTTGTCTAGCCCTGTGTCAAACTTGGAGGGTGTAACCTGCTACCAATGTAAGACAGGTGCTACCAAGACAGGTGCTACCATCCCCTTAACACTGTGAATAGGTTGTCTAGCCCTGTGTCAAATTTGGAGGGTGTAACCTGCTACCAATGTAAGACAGGTGCTACCATCCCCTTAACACTATGAATAGGTTGTCTAGCCCTGTGTCAAACTTGGAGGGTGTAACCTGCTACCAATGTAAGACAGGTGCTACCATCCCCTTAACACTATGAATAGGTTGTCTAGCCCTGTGTCAAACTTGGAGGGTGTAACCTGCTACCAATGTAAGACAGGTGCTACCAAGACAGGTGCTACCATCCCATTAATACTATGAATAGGTTGTCTAGCCCAGTGTCAAACTTGGAGGGTGTAACCTGCTACCAATGTAAGACAGGTGCTAACATCCCATTATCACTGTGAATAGGTTGTCTAGCCCAGTGTCAAACTTGGAGGGTGTAACCTGCTACCAATGTAAGACAGGTGCTACCATCCCCTTAACACTGTGAATAGGTTGTCTAGCACTGTGTCAAACTTGGAGGGTGTAACCTGCTACCAATGTAAGACAGGTGTAACCATCCCATTTACACTGTGAATAGGTTGTCTAGCCCTGTGTCAAACTTGGAGGGTGTAACCTGCTACCAATGTAAGACAGGTGCTACCATCCCCTTAACACTGTGAATAGGTTGTCTAGCCCTGTGTCAAACTTGGAGGGTGTAACCTGCTACCAATGTAAGACAGGTGCTACCATCCCCTTAACACTATGATTGGTTGTCTAGCCCTGTGTCAAACTTGGAGGGTGTAACCTGCTACCAATGTAAGACAGGTGCTACCAAGACAGGTGCTACCACCCCATTAACACTGTGAATAGGTTGTCTAGCCCAGTGTCAAACTTGGAGGGTGTAACCTGCTACCAATGTAAGACAGGTGCTACCACCCCATTTACACTATGAATAGGTTGTCTAGCCCTGTGTCAAACTTGGAGGGTGTAACCTGCTACCAATGTAAGACAGGTGCTACCAAGACAGGTGCTACCATCCCCTTAACACTGTGAATAGGTTGTCTAGCCCTGTGTCAAATTTGGAGGGTGTAACCTGCTACCAATGTAAGACAGGTGCTACCATCCCCTTAACACTATGAATAGGTTGTCTAGCCCTGTGTCAAACTTGGAGGGTGTAACCTGCTACCAATGTAAGACAGGTGCCACCATCCCCTTAACACTATGAATAGGTTGTCTAGCCCTGTGTCAAACTTGGAGGGTGTAACCTGCTACCAATGTAAGACAGGTGATACCAAGACAGGTGCTACCATCCCATTAATACTATGAATAGGTTGTCTAGCCCCGTGTCAAACTTGGAGGGTGTAACCTGCTACCAATGTAAGACAGGTGCTACCATCCCATTATCACTGTGAATAGGTTGTCTAGCCCAGTGTCAAACTTGGAGGGTGTAACCTGCTACCAATGTAAGACAGGTGCTACCATCCCCTTAACACTTTGAATAGGTTGTCTAGCCCTGTGTCAAACTTGGAGGGTGTAACCTGCTACCAATGTAAGACAGGTGTTACCATCCCATTTACACTGTGAATAGGTTGTCTATCCCTGTGTCAAACTTGGAGGGTGTAACCTGCTACCAATGTAAGACAGGTGCTACCATCCCCTTAACACTATGAATAGGTTGTCTAGCCCTGTGTCAAACTTGGAGGGTGTAACCTGCTACCAATGTAAGACAGGTGCTACCAAGACAGGTGCTACCATCCCATTAATACTATGAATAGGTTGTCTAGCCCAGTGTCAAACTTGGAGGGTGTAACCTGCTACCAATGTAAGACAGGTGCTACCATCCCATTATCACTGTGAATAGGTTGTCTAGCCCAGTGTCAAACTTGGAGGGTGTAACCTGCTACCAATGTAAGACAGGTGCTACCATCCCCTTAACACTGTGAATAGGTTGTCTAGCCCTGTGTCAAACTTGGAGGGTGTAACCTGCTACCAATGTAAGACAGGTGCTACCACCCCATTAACACTGTGAATAGGTTGTCTAGCCCTGTGTCAAACTTGGAGGGTGTAACCTGCTACCAATGTAAGACAGGTGTTACCACCCCATTAACACTGTGAATAGGTTGT